AAGCCGTTTGGGCATGCTGTGAAGAGTTCAGATTATTTTCAAAGGCTCCATTTCGTAACCTCACCTCTGTCAGGCGGGCTCACTATCAGCTGCGCTGTGTCTCAATATCAGCCCTAGCCTCGCTATACTTGTTAGGGCGCCTTCATTAGAAAACATAAACGAGAGAGAGCGCGAAAACTCCTTCACAGCTCTCTTCAAAAAATCGTCTCGTAGCTTAACATGGTACGGCTGAAATCGGCAATCAAAAACTTGTCTAGCGGTACATGTATATCTCATTGAAAACTACCACTTCAACCTGATTCCCCTGTGATAAATCTATAATATTCAACAAACCTTATGGCAATGTTACTTCAATGGAAAGAGTGTGGATCTTGTAGATGTTGGAAGCGTTGACGGCTGCCAACATGCCCATGTATGGAGTTGAAGTGACAAACGACTTCATGCCTATTCAGGTGAGATTTACAGTTCTCCACAAGGTTTCAGTGCATAACTTCGTGTTCAAAATTCTATGCGGGTCGGAAGCGATGTGAGCAGTAAAAAAGGATATTCGTGAAAGCTGAAAAAATTGGCATTGTCCAACATCAGCAGTTAAACTGACCAGGAACGTTTTCCAGAGCATGGAGCGCTTTTTTCAAAACGGTTTGTTGTAGGGGTACGTGCGCAGAGCATAAAACTGATGATCTTTTTTGAGCGGCCCTGGGATTGCCAGAAAAAGGGCAGAAAATTTTCCTTGAGAAGTGAAACTTTTCCATTTTTCAATAAACTCTACAGCATTTGTAGAGTTGAGCAGTTGCATTTTGGAAGCTTTTTGTTCACTGAATAAGTTCACACAGATTCCAGGAAAGTGGAAATCAGAGACTTGCAAAAATTGGTTTCGACATGTTCTCAGCATTCCCAGAGCCGCTCAGAAAAATCAATTCAGTTCTATGCTCCCTGCGTGTGCCCTTATAACATGCAAAAAACCGTTTCAAGAAAGCGCTTCATGTCATGAAGGCTTTCCTGGTGAGCGCGTTCGATCTTTTGTTGTATTTCATGGGTGTAGCAAATAGCCTCCACGCCGCACGTTTGAAGGGGAGTTCACGATTAGAAGGCAGCTCATTAGAATTAGGTTTGAAGTGATTAGTGGTGGCAGATGAAGAGAAAACCACGAGAAACGGTGAACCCGTGAAATGGGTCTCCTTCTCTGCCCGCTGATTTCCGCACTGATGCGAGTCTCACTGGTGTTGTCCTCATCAACGCTAACGCTCCCTCTTCTCAACGGCTAGATACCTGCGGCTGGCCAGTCGATGGCTATACCGCGCCGGTAGCGCCATGGTAGGTCGCCGAGAGCACATCATTCCCGAGAAATTGCGTGTTCGTCCACACACTTAGAGGTCCGCCTGTTTTTCCACCAGTTAAGCTACCTTTTTCGAACTTCGTTGTTATCGTGGGATCCTCCCTCAACCGAGTATGAAGAACACATTCCACCACCAGATGTCATAAAAGTCTTCTTCATCGACGACATCAGAAGAATTGCCATGGAAATGTAGTGCACTGTTCAAGCTCAACATGCTTCTCGACAGATCATGGACCATTGCGACGTTATTTGAATGTTGGTCGGGGGTTCTTGCGTAAACAGAGCTACTAGAGTGAGTATCGGCGCCCACAGGCGGTGGGCCAAAAAAAAAGACATGCCCAGGTCGCACTCAGGCTATTTTCTTCGCAGATATTGACCATGTTGAACGGAAAGTTCTTCCAAGCGCAAAGATATTTTTCAAATGTCCTTCTAAATTATAAGATACACACACAGGAACGCTTCACGCCTCACCAGTCCTCAGATATGACGCTCATACTGTCACCCATCGATCAAGCATCAGGAGGCCTACAGTAACTCGCCTTCAGCCTGAAAGCTAACTGTTAATAAATTTCTTGATCGAATTCAAAAACGAGGGAGTGTATCTCTTAGGACATTATCATCTAATTATGACTAAGCCCTATAGAATCCGCCCTTCGGAACCGTCGTAACGGGACACGGTCAATCGAGAACCCCATTGAGCTCGACCAGAGCACCATGTTTCCGGGGCAAACTTTTTTGATGCCATCCACGAAGATGGCCACTATGACGATTTTCTTATGAAATGAAATGACGAGTCAATTAAGTCGGGAGCAGACACATTTGAATTTGAGCAAAGTGTGATACAAGCCATTTGAGTCTGAAGACAACAAGACTTTTTTTATTCGCTCCCCCCCTGTATATGGGGGTGCAAGGGTGTGAAGTGTCTCCCTTACAAATTGCTGTGTACACTCATGATCAAATGCACGCGACGTCTCGTTATGACCGCTCGCTGTACTCTAAAAGTTGGAAGCAACTAAAATTATTTATTGAGCCCTTGCTCAATTTTTGAGTTCTATTGGATACAACTCTATAGTGGTCAGTTCCTAATTCAGGTTGAAAATCCTACTACAAACTTGAAAGGAGTCGGACCTCTATATGGAAAAGTTGAAGCAGGTGCGGTGACACAGACGTCGCCAGGTGGCACAGGTGAGGCCTAAGCATTAAAATATGGCAGAGTGACGTCAAGGGAAGTGCAGTGGAAAATGTTACTAGAAACGTTACCTATGACCGTACTTCTGTGTAAACAAAACAAATGATTTTTGACGATGCCTCTCGATTTTCTTCTCGTTTTGCTAACGGAGAAAATAACATACTGTATACGAACTTCCAAAACCACTCAGCAGTGTGAGCATATGAAAAAATTGCTGAGAGACTATATTGCAGCCGATTTTGTGTTCCACACGTATACAGTAGCGATGAAAGTGACCCTGCACAACGTGGCCAATACACGCTACAAATGGAACATCGTGAAGAACACGTTCATGCAGAAGCTTTCGCTGAACTTCGGGGCACGCTTCAATGGCGAAGTGACCGTTGGAAAGTTCTAGATTTAGTTGTTCCCATGAAGTGCTCTATTTATTGAATATTTAACATGTATTATACGAATAAACTATTTTGACAGTCATTGAATTCCATTAACATTCAGTTCGAAATTTCATTGGTTAGTGATTCTGTCGATAGATTTCATGATGTTGACATACCTAACGCCTGGAGCAGATGAGTAGTAGGACTTGATCTTGGACAGTTGACAAATTCAGGCATCACTGGATCAATGTTTGATCCCAACGGCGGGGAGGTGACCATTCTTATCAAAGTAATGGATAGCTAGTAAACACACGACGAGGAAAAACCCCAGTAAGCACTCAGGGAAGAAGTGCACAGGGGTATATTTAGTGCTGGACCGCGGCGGTAACTACACACTAATCCTCCAATAGTCACTCTCGGTGGAATAGTGGCTACCGCTCCAACTATGTACATGTGAGCGTAAAGCTACGCCCATACCTACAGTATGTTTCAAGTATAGGGATAGCCCTAAAAACTGCTGTTCAGGGTTATAATGGAGAATGAAGGATTCATGGCTTGCTGCCTACTTCATTATATTCGTTATACACTGAACCCACAGTT